TTATTGTCTCACCTCTCCTACTAAATACAAGACCCGTGAGAACAGAAATCTTCTCTGTTTACTTCACTACAGTAAACACACCACCATTCATTATTTGTGAAATGAATGACTACAGTGTTATTTCAGATAGAATATTAAGTTTGTTTTATAAAATTTTCCTTGTTTTAAAGAAAATGTTAAATTTTCCCTCTTTCAAAATAATTGCCCAAGAATTACTTAAATCTCTAAAATTCCTAAGAGGGAAAATTTAGCAAATCAAAATGTTTTGCTCAGAGTCACTGCCATTATAAAGTTGAAATATATTTTTCTACGTTAATTTTAAATAACTGAGATGACCTAATAAGACTTCAAACAAAATACATTTCAGTTACAACAATAATAATTTCTGTTTGACTAATGTAATGTCATCATCATACTATTGAGTGAATATAATTATTCTTTTTTTTGAAGGAAAAAAGTGATCTTAGATGAACAGAACACTTAAGATTTATATTCCAAGTGTAGTTCTGCAACTAATTTAAACCAAGAATGAATCAATTAACAGCTGTTTGTTGGAGGGGGTAGGGGAGTGAGGGGTAGCTGTATATATCTCATGAGTTCCCTCTCAGTGATAATCAAAGACTTACCTAGATAAAAGCAAAAAAAGGAAAACTGTATCTCTTTCCTGATTTCAATTCCTAAGAATTGTTTATTTCCTAAAGATGGCTAAAAGTGCTACTATAGCACCAAATAGAAAGCTACCAAATCTAACATTTGACATTGCTCACCCAAAAGTAAATTCTCCTTTAAAAAAAAGTCCCAAACAATATAGACCACACATAAACAGTCAAAAAAAAAAAAAAAAAAAAACCTAAAAATCCTTGAGTACTAGAAGTTGCTTTTATCTCCGATTACAAATCAGAAAATGAATGTTTCTATAGAGTCCATTGTATATAAATGTCATAAAGATAATCTAATTCATGTGACTCTGAGGAGCTTAGTTTTAAGGAAAAACTATAAAAAGCAACAAACTGTTAATTTCCTGACATATCCCTGAGGTCAGCTTCTTTGTATAAAACATTGCTGATCGCCACCTTTGCTGCCAGCAAGAGTTCACACAACAGACAACTAGGCAAATAAAATGAAAATAAACTTAAGTGTAGAAAGATATAAATAAGGACATTTCTCCTCCTCACAACAAATAAACAGCTAAAGATGAGATAAAAGTAAAAACCACATTGCTGCATTTGGTTTTTTTCATTTGTGGAAGAGAAGCGGTTGCAGTTTTCTATAAAAACTGGAACCGCTTCTCTTTCACAAACAAGAAAAGATTAAGAAACAAAATGAAGTAAAGTTTTTCCACTCCTCTAATACACGTCCCCGTGTATTTTTAAGCATTTTCCTTATTCTACTACTTATTTGCATAATCTTGCTTAAAAATTGAACTATTTTTAGTTAAAAATACAACAAAACAATAAAGTTTGGATTTAAAGTATGATCAAATATGGTCAGATCACAATAAATGCTACATGTAAAATGTAAGACATAATCAGCTTATTTTAAACATTTTGAAACAATGGGTCAAATTAAAGTATCTTAAGTACAGTATACATTCCCAAAGTTTAGCGAGTCAAATGAAAACATCACAAAATGTACATTCATTCATTCATTTATAAGACATTTTACTGAACACCTACTGTCAGGCACTAAATTATAGATGGAGAGAAGATACAAAAATGAGTAGAACACAACTGAGCCCTTACTGTTAAGTAATTCCCAACACCAAGAGAAAAAAAAAATAATGTGACAGACTATAAGTACTAATGATAAAAGGAAGCAGAGGAAGTTTGGTAAACTCAGAACTCAGATTAGAGGACAGAGGAAGTTTGATAAGGTATCTAGAGGAGATAATGCCTAAATTGAGTCTTACGATATTAGCATAGGTTAAGCACAATTATAATTTCACACGTGTGTGTTTGAAAAATGGGGTGGAAAATGAGGTTAGAAAAAAAAGACAGTGAATTACCACCCTGTTTCAATAAGAGGATGCAGCATGCGCAAAAGTAAAAGGCATTAGATAAGCATGGCATATCACCAAACTGCAAATACTTCACAACTGTACTGTCCAACACAGCTGCTCCTGAGCACCTAAAATGTAGCTATACAGAACTGGCATATGTAGTAAGTGTAAAATAAATGTGGTATTTTGAAAACTTAGTACATAAAACAGAATACAAAATAGCTCTTCTATAATCTTTCTTATATTTGATATATGCTAAGTAATATTTTGGATATATGTGGTTAAAAATATATTAAAATTAATTTCACCTGTTTGTATTTTATTGTGTGGCTACTGAAAAAATGTATATGGTTCACATTATATTCCAAATGGACAATGCCAGCTTACAAGGATGGCACTGGCTGGGGAGTAGTGCTAAAGTAATAAGAAGTGGGACCAGATCGGGTGGAAGATAATATCACAAGAAGAATCGCTATGTCATATTAACAATTTGGTTAGAAACCAAGGCTCTTCAGTAGGGTTAATATCATCACACCTGGCCGGGCGCAGTGGTTCATGCCTGTAATCCCAGCACTTTGGAAGGGTGAGGCGGGTGGATCACAAGGTCAGGAGATCGAGACCATCCTGACCAACGTGGTGAAACCCCGTCTCTACTAAAAATATTTTAAAAATTAGCTGGGCATGGTGGTGTGTGCCTGTAGTCCCAGCTACTTGGGAGGCTGAGGCGGGAGAATTGCTTGAACCAGGACCCCGGAAGCAGAGGTTGCAGTGAGCCGAGATCGTACCATTGCACTCCAGCCTGGCGACAGAGCAAGACTGCATGTCAAAAAAAAAAAAAGATTATCAGACCTGGCATTTGCAAGGATCCATATCTAATCCAAGAACTGGAGGACAGGAAAGCTGGAGGAAGAATATCAATTGGTCTTGATAAATACTGACAATGTTTTGAAGGTAGTATAACTAGAGATAGAGTACAGAATTGATTCCAGAAATGTTTTTCAAGAAAGATAAACTATACTTGCTGACAGATTAAATATGAAGTCTGGGAATAGAGAAGAACCTGAGTAAATTCCAAAGTTCTGGGGCTTGCACAATTAGGAGAATGTGGTATTCAATCAGGACAGCTTTGGCAGAGAAAGCTCAAAAGTTCCAGGTCAGAAATAAAAAACTGGGAGTGTTAATAAAACACAAATAGTGAAAGCCAATGGAGTGGATGGACACAGCCAAGAACACAGAGTAAAAAAGAAGACAGAAGACTGGATTATGGGGAAAAACAATATGAAATATGATGGGCAGAGGAAGCAGATCCCACAAAGGAGTTGAAGAATGACAGGCAGAAAAAGAACCCATAAGGATACCATCTTTATTTTAATGGGCTTCCATTGTGTCCTACAGAATTATACTTCCACAATAGGTTTCACAAAAGAGATGTGACTGACAAAAGAAAAATCTCCCTTCCAAAGTCACAAATTACTTTTTGATAATTCAAATGACACTTTTGTCAACTTAGAGAATTAAAACAAACTATTACTTCCTATAACTTATTTGGACAAACATACTAGCTAACATGCCGCAAATCACAAAGTGAAATATTTAAAATGGTAATAGAGAATTTAAATGTGGAACGACTGGGAAAAACAGATTAAAATAACAATGCAAAAGAAAGAGGGAATGGGTAAAGAACTGGAAACATCGGTTTTACCATTCTAAAAAACATATAGCCATTCCTCCTCGCTAAAATATAATTTAAATGATGACTTTTGATTCCATAGAGATCTGCAATCCAAGTTCTTAACCTGAAGATAAAGGACGGGTATAAATACGTATATGCCCAAATATACTTTCCAAAGAACAAAGTGAACAAAAAAAGGGGTTTCTATCAGATGAACTGGACCAGGGCTCTTCACTGTTAAACACTATCCTGCGGTCTACTTAACATAAAATATCGTGTATCTCAGTACCCAATCCAACTCAAGTGTGCCAAAAAGGCACTTTTTTTTCCTAAACATCTTTACTCCTCTCATCCCATCCTTGAAAGAGGTGTAGAAATTTCACAGCCTGGACAATTACGGCTTTCCACTCTAATTACAGTCCCATTAATAACACATCTATTATTATCCCAGAGATATCAAAGCCTCCTTTCCTATCTTGGCCCTTGGCCCTTCCCCTCCTCTCTAGTCTTGAGTCTCCAAGGTTTTTGTTTTGTTTCTTTTAATAACGCTTAACCCCTTCTCTAGATCCGCCTGCACTGCGCTCCTTCCTTCTCTTCCCGGTCCAAGGAAATAAATAACCCTTTCCCAGCTCCTCTCCTCATAACTTCCCAGTCCTCACAGTGCCAGTCAACCCCACTTCCTCAGGACTCTCTCAGGAGCCGACCTCTTCCAACATTTTCCTAAGTCTTCCTTCTCTTCGCGGTCCCTAAATCCTCCTCATCCCTAATCCCTTCATCTTCCCTGCTTTAAGAACCACCTGGAGGCCTCATCCACTAACGCCCCTTCGCCAGCTCCCCTAAGCTTGACCCTAGCCTAACCTCGCACCTCCACCACCCCTGCCGTCTCCACGATGACCCCAAAGCCCACCTCCAACGCGCCGGGTCTTCCGTAGAACCGAAGCGGCGTCCAGCCTCCTTGCTTTCCCTCTTAGAACCGAACTCCCGGCTGGGGCCTCGGCGTCAGGCCGCCAAAGAGGGGGTGCCTGGCTCCTGCGGAGGCTGCGGGACGGGTGCCGAGGTTGCCGGCGTGCGGGAAGTTTGAACATAGGGATGGGACAGGGGAGAGACCGCGATTCCTGGGTAGCAGCGGCGGCAACCTGGGCTCCAGGGTAACGGAGGCGGAGACCCAGACTGCACTACGAAGAGATCGCAGCCAATCATGATGACTCTACCCGAGCTCTCATTGGACTTTGTCTCCAGACAGCCGTTTTTATTGGCATCAGTGGAACTGGAAGGCGGGACGACGAGTGCGGGAGAAGGCCTCTATTGGCCGACCGCTCTAGCTGTGGCGGAGATCTCAAGTAGGGAAGTTGTTTGAGGCGAAGCATGGAGCGCGCCAAGTGTGGTGGGCTAAGCGGCGCGAAGCGCGATTTCTGAGCTTCGCGGGCTCTGAAAAGGACGCGGGCGGAGGGGAAACGGGGTTCATAAAATGAATTGTAAAATTGGAGACCGCTTAACATAAAACACTTAATTGCTTCTATTTCCTTTGGGTTGTTTTTAAATTGTAAACAAAAGGATAGTGCTTCTCGGTCTTCTTACCGAATATGGCTGATTCAGGAGGATGCGGGGTGAGTGCACTAATGTTCCTGCCTCGACATCCTGGCCGTCAATCAACAACGAGCCGTGAATTTGGTTTGAAGGTGATTTTTAGGTTTTGGAACTGGTTTGGGGTGGAATGGCATCTGAAATACTTGCACACAGGTTTGTTTTTTGTTTTTTTTTTAAGGAACGTTTGGAGGAGCATGTCAGTAGCCTATTGAGAACTGATGTGTGACATATTTTCTCCTTTAAAAATGGCATTAATTGCGGGAGACAGGGAAGGTTAAAAAAAAAAATCCTCTTTCGTGAGGGTTTTAAGCTGCCCCGAGCCATGATTATCAAGATGGTTTAACACTTACCCTGGCTGTTCTCATCTCTCTGGCCTTTACCACCATTCTGGAGAGAATCTAATTTTTGAAGGCAAATGCTTCTAATGAATCTTCTAACCATGAAGTTTGGTAATTCCTACTTCTCGTTTAACCTCGTTTTTCCGGCTTTGCACTGTTTCAAAGCTTTCATTTTATCCTGTCAATATTTTTTACTTCAAGTTACAGACTAACCCACTCAAACAATATTGTGATTAAATGTACCTTTCTGAATGCGAAATATATGTGAACAAGATGGCAGTCATCTGTTAATTGCACTGAATTACTTCACCAATTCTTTAATTTATCTCTGCTGACACTGTTAAAAGAGCTCACTGGTTATTATGGACTCGGAGTTAACATGTAAAGGTATGGGTGGATTATTTATAAAAGAAGTTGTTAGGAAGAATCAAGAAGCTGTATTTACGCGGACAAACAAATGTCTGTCACAGGAGCGTCAAATCCCGATTGCTGGAGGACAGCTGAGAATGAAACCACCATTTATTCAGCATTCAGAATGATCCAGGCAGTGTAATCTCATTCCATCTTCACTCATGAAGGTATTGTTATTCATTGTTTATACTTCAGAAAGCAGATTCAGAGAGGTTAAAGTATCTACCTAAGATAATAAAGTAGTAAGTGGTAATGCCAGAGTACAAGCCTAGGTCTGCTTCCAGATTTCGAGGTTTCAGATTTGATGTCTTGAGTGTGTTTCACCTACAGGTTAAGAAGTTATTGGTAAGCAAAAAAATATTTAAAACGGTGGGAGAATCCAAAAAATTATCTAGTTGTTTGTAACATATTCTCAGGATTCTTACAGAGTGCCATTTTATTCACCATCTCATACACAAAATAACAGTGGCTATCAATTTGACCTTGAAAAAAGACCAAAAAATTTATAAATTTAGAGAAATAAAAACTAATTTAATTACTATTTTAAAAGGTTACCCCAAAATATGAGAAAACAGTTTTTCAAATTTTATGATATTACATGGTTTTAATATTATTTTTGATAGGGCTAGAATTTTCTAAGATACGTTTTGACATTTTATTTCACTACCACACAGGATTCTGCTTTTCAGAAATAAAGGAAACAAAGTTAACAAAACAACATTTATATTTTTGCGGTTTGAAGGTATAAACAAATCAGGCTTTTTTTGTTTTTAAAGATTTTACTTATGAAATAAATTCTACCAATGGTCATTAAGCACTTGGGAGTTTTATTTTTAATATTCCTAGGCTTCTTCCATTCGTATTGCAATCTCCCCAGCTTTGCTATATTGCTAAGTGAATGTTCATTTTCTGCAGGACATTGATTGGCTTCTTCACTGCTATTTGGCAATGATATAGATGATATACTGCAATTAAAATATTATTACAAATGCTTACTAGTAGGATTATTCTCATTTTCTTTTTGGGGAAACCAGTGTAGAATTTGAATGGTTTGTTAGAAGTTTCAAAAAAAAGCAATAGGTAGATAAATAGAAATTATGATGACCATAAATTGTAAAGGGGGCACATGCTATATATAGTATCTTGGAAAGCACACAAGTATAATTATCTTTAGCTAAGGTTCAGTTGTCTATATCATACCATTCTACAAAAAAAGAAAAGCACTGTCACAATTTTATATGTTTTACATAAACATGATACATAACAAAAATTCAACAATTTTATGTCTAACTTCTTGGTGTCGTATTGCTTGGAAATTTTAAATTTATTTATTTATTTATTTTGAGACGGAGTTTCTCTCATTACCCAGGCTGGAGTGCAATGGCACGATCTCGGTTCACCGCAACCTCCGCCTCCTGGGTTCAGGCAATTCTCCTGCCTCAGCCTCCCAAGTATCTTGGATTGCAGGCACACGCCACCATGCCCAGCTAATTTTTTATATCTTTAGTAGAGACGGGGTTTCACCCTGTTGAGCAGGATGGTCTCAATCTCATGACCTCTTGATCCACCCAACTCGGCCTCCCAAAGTGCTGGGTTTACAGGCTTGAGCCACCTTGCCCGGCCTTTTAAATTTATTAATAGATTCCAGGTAAATAGGTTTTAGCATATAATATTAAATTTGAAACAGTATCTAATATGCTACATGTTTAAGAGAAATTGAATGGCTTGGTTGAGTTGGTTGTAAACAGCAGTATAATGGCAGACCTAGAAAGTGGGCTGTTCTTATGAAAACAAATGTAGTCCATTCTGATTGTTATTAATATTTGCTTTTGCAGTACAAAAAGCTAAGAGCCTTTGACTATTGCTGTGTTTAAAGGATAAAGTTTTTGATTGCTTGATGAAATGTACAAGGTTTTTTGTTGTGGTTGTTAATAGAGAAAGAAATGAAACCATTGAGATGTTTGTAAAAACTTTTATATCTTTACAACATAATACTGGTCATCAATACAATGAACTACTGATCAACATGGATGAATATTTATAGACAGTATTGATCAAAAGAAGTCAGACACAAAAGAATATATTCTATATACTTCCATTAACAAGTGATTCAAAAACAGGCAAAATTCATCTAAACTGGCAAAAATTCGAATATTTATTGACTGTGTTGACTGTGGGGTTGGAGGTAGGATTGAGTGGAAGAGACTAAAAGTTGTTTTTGGAGTGATATGAATATGCTGTTTGACTGACATGGTAGTTAAAGAGAGTTTCCAGCTGGGCATAGTGGCTCATGCCTGTAATCCCAGCACTTTGGGAGGCCGAAGCAGGCAAATCACTTGAGGTTAGGAGTTTGAGACCAGCCTGGCTCAACATGGTGAGACCCCATCTCTACTGAAAATACAAAATTAGCTGGACCTAGTGGTGCATGCCTGTAGTCCCAGCTACTCAGGAGACTGAGGCAGGAGAATTGCTTGAACCCAGGAGGTGAAGATTGTAGTGAGCTGAGATCACACCACTGCACTCCAGCCTGGGCAGCAGAGCGAGACTCAGTCTCAAAAAATAAAAAAAGAGTTTCCTTTATAAAAACTCATTAAAAGATATAAAATATATGTGCTTTTCATTGTATGTAAATTTTACCTCAATTTTTTAATGGCTTTAGAAAAATAATGTAATTGGCTTTTATAATAGAAAAATCTAGTAGGCCTAGGTCCACATATGGTTGGATTCAAGTGTTTAATGTCATTAAAATTTTTTCTTGTCTCTTGGATGTACTTTTCTATGTTTTGGCCTTATTTAAGTCAGGCTTTCCCTCCCAGCTATGGCCGAATGCTCCAGATTTGCATTCTATTTACCTAGCAACCCCAGTGGAAAAAGAATATCTCTTTTCTGATTGGTCCAGCAGAAATCTTGGTATTAACTCTGACTGCCCACACTTGCATATGAACTTATTAATAATTACCATAGCCAAGTGTTTGCTTAGGGAAAGAGGATGATAAAGCCACCTTATCTTTCGTGTTTGCTCAGAATAGTGAGAGAGATGATTCTCCAAAGGAAAACTGGAATGCTGTTACTAGAAGAAGAAATACTGGACAAAGTGGATAGATGTCCCTAAAAGTGATGATGATAATTTTATTCAAATAGGTTCATAGATCAGTCTGCTGGGCTTGTTTTCACATTTTATTTAAGAAAAACTCATGTAATTACAAGTTCCCCAGTCTGTAAATATAGATGAGATTAACCAAATTTTGTTATTTTTTGACTGCCTCCGCTTTATAGTACCTCCCCCTACCTCCACAAAGACTTCCCCACTTATTAACAATTATTGTGGCCAGTAATTTCTGGGACTTCTCAGAGAGTGTCTCATAAACATATCTATCTCTACTGGTCATCCAAGGAGGCAGGATACCAGGACCACTGCTCTGCCAGGCAACAGTTTATCCCTCTTCTTTCTAGGACCCAGCAACTTATGCTGGTGGCCATCACGAAGTCACTAAGTACCACCACTTAGAACAGTGCCAAAGCTGAACTATATGCCTTTTGTTTCTCAGATCGTAGCTTGCCTTTTCTATATTCTGCTTTAAGGTGCAGGAGCTAGGACTCGACAAACTACATTTCCCAGACATCCTTGCTAGTTGGCATATCAATAGGTTCTGCCAAAATGGGGCACTTAGGGAGAGGTTCCTTCTCAATGACTCTGTTCCTAGACATTGTTGACTAGAGCAACAATTGGCTCTAGTCTAATGTGTCTTTGCTCACTGAATACAAATGAAGAGACTGAATGAATGTGCTTGTTATTATGTTTGCAACCTATGCTATTACTTTATCTCCTCCCTCCCTTTCCACTCCGCAAAAAACCCATATAAACAATAGCAAAAGAAAAAAAAACTCCACAAAACTTTTACCATCTTACAGAGAACAACTAACAGTTGGTGACCAAACAAGAATAAAAATGTGTTGAAGTGTATGGTCTTATATTTGCCTGACACTCTACAGAGTACTTTCACAAAGACCTCATGATCTTAAACAACCCTGAGAAATAGAATATAGATGAGGAAACTGACCCTGAGGTTAAATCAAATTTGTCTAATAGAAATAGAATGTGAGCCATCCACTAAATTTTAAATTTTCTAGTAGTCACATTAAAATAAGTTTTTACAAAGTAAAATTAGTTCGATTTATTTAATATCCAAATTTTTATTTCAACTTGTATTCAATATTTTAATGTTATCAGTGAGATATTTTGCCTGTTTTTATACTAAGATTTTCACACCTAGTATATATTTTACAGATGTAACACATTTCAATTCAGGCCAGCCATCTCTGAAGTACTCAGTTATCACATGCAGGTTGTAGCTAACCTATTGGACAACACAGGATTAGATTATTTACCCAGAGGCATATAATAGGAAGTAATGGTCCCAGGTAGACAACTTCCAAAAAGGAAAGCAATGCTGGTCTGGAAACCTAGAGACTTTAATTCCATACATGGCTCTGGCTCTTAATAGTTGTGGAATAGGCATTCTTTAAACCTGGGTTTCTGGATTTGTTAAATGACATCAATCAGTTGTCTTTACTCCCCAACCCACCTTCTGCAGCAGAGCCCTTTATCAAGCAAATTCTTATATGGAAACCCCATATTTAAAACATAGGAAGCATATTTAAAACATAGGAACTGCCTCTCTGTTGAAAGAGGCATAGCTGCATGGAGATGAGGGGCACAAGTGGATTACAGCCTTCGTAATCTACACACAGAGGCATCTTCTGAGGAGCCTCCAATGAACCCTTCAAGTACTCTGCAGACATCAGTATATTGGTGTTTGATTCACATTTTTAGTTTGTAGAATCATCAGTTATTTATAAATATAAGAGGGCCTTTAAGATCAATTACTCAAGTTGTGTTCTGATGTTATTTTTTCCTTACTAATAGACCCTTCTTTTCAAACAGTACCTTTTAAAGAAATACAAAATATGCTAGTTAAAATCAGAACTGCCCTGCAAAGTTGAAGTGGATATGAGGAAATAGAACCCTAACGACTCAGCATTTCTCAAATACCCAATTCCATAAGTGGCCCCCAATAATCTTCTTTCAAACCACCCTACAGGGGTGTCATGGGTTCTCAGTTCCTGTTTCTGGTTGGGTCAGCAAAGGCCCTTCCTCATCCCTCTT